CTCTTCTGTGTGTGAAACCTGTGTCTCACTTTAAGAGAAGAACACAGGGGAAATGATATGAACTGCGGCGTAATGTATAGACCTGATCTTCTGTGAATAATAGTCTACTGCGATGATCAAAGCAAGAATAACATGGATGAGATAAGTAGCACTAATGGAATGTGAGAATGCATATAAAATTTTGTAGGATACCTTCAAGGGAAGAGCCTACTTGGAAGACCTTGATGTAGATGAATAATATTGAACTGAATCTTACAGACACAAGTTTGCAATGTATGGACGGGATTATTTTAGTCAGGCTAGGACCAGGGGCGGGCTTCCTTTTACAAAAAAAAAAAAATATATGTTTCCATAAAAGGCGGGGTATGAGTTGCCGAATGAATATCAGTTTCTAAAGAAGGATTCAGCCCCATGAAGTTATGTAGTTTCGTTGGTTATTGCAGGATCTGAAGTTCTCACAGCAGTCGTTATGAACAGTTCTATCTTCTGGCTTATTGCATACTACATGCCGGTTTATTGCTCGGCTTTCTCTTAGAAAGCTTGCAGATGGTGGCGACATGTTCCTCCGAAACGATGAATGACTTTCAGCGGCCTACACGCGTTGTATCCCCGAAGATACAACTTTTCGTTGGATATCATTTACTTCGGAATTTGCTTGCGTAATTAGATATTTTATTATTATATTTTATTTATTTATCATTACTGAATTATCTGCTTGTTCATTAGTCACACGAGAAATATATTATTTCCATCAGAACTTCCAGTTATTCAATTATCTGCTCGTTAATTATTCACAGACTTTTTTTTACAGTGTATGACATCTGAGGGTCTATGACGGTGGAGATACATGTTGTGGCCGCCTGGGTTGTGACACCGGCTAGTCTGGTAGGTGAATACTAACGTTTGAGAGAAGTATACTGCCCCTATCTTCGGAGTCAAATCGAGCCAAGTAGAGAAGTTACAAGTTATCCATGAGATTAAGGGAAAACGACTAATGGAAGACCGGAGGGGCGTCAGAAGAGGAATGAAGACGCACCTACGGAAGTGCAGGAACACTTGAAAAAGGCAGTTACACCAAACGCTAATGGAAGAAGAGAGACAAATTAAGTTCGGTCCTTTGAAGGAATTTACTTGCGTTGCTTCAGTGCTTCAATGGGTGGTTTCCATGACCTGGTCAGGGAGAATTTATCTTCGTTGGTCATGTTGTTAGGATGAAGTAATATCTCTTTGCGTCTCTGATGATCCAGCCCATGCTTTTGGTTTTTCTGGACAGACTAATGGTGTCATATAGCAAGATACTCGTACAATGGCCCAAGCGTATACTGTTCTGCTACGACTGACTTACCCGGATGATAAAGACTTCGTGCCGACTGACCCTAGTCTCAATGGGAAGTTTCTTCTGACCGTTGCAAACAGCACCGCACCCACGGGACATTCCCAGTGTTTTTAAGGATATGTCATCTTTCATAGGGGATCCGAATAGAGGCAGAAGGAGGGGGCGGAGTTCGAGACCCAGTAAGGGCGAGATATCTTTTTGTCCATGTTGTCCAGACCGGTTCTGGGGCCCACCCACCCTCCTATCCAATGGGTAACGAGGACTCTTATTCCGGGGGTAGAGCGGCGGGGCGTGAAGCTGACCACTCAACCCAAAGTAATGCCAAAGTCAAGAATACGTGGATCTATACATCCACTCCCCCACATACCTTCACGGCTTAGTTCTTAATTAGTTAAGCACAGGGACAGCTTTACCTTTACCATCAAAGGCAACTGGATATTTCTTCTCGCTGGGAAGCCTACAATCCTTACGCTGTGCCAGGAGAGCATCTAGTTTGTGCGATAAAAGGAAAAGAGCACCCCTCAAGATGGCTACTTTCTGAGTGGTGTGACCCTCCCTGGTAGATTTAGAGATTGAAGAATCTGTCTGTTGCTGTAGCAGTTCGGTCTGAAAGTTCTGTGGAATAATTACAATTCCCTACGGCGTGTACCTTGGTGGCAGATGGCGTACGCTCTCCGTTAAGATGGAAAGCACAGCCTACTTGTTTGCCGCACGGTGGTGTGACCTGGTATTCAGTAGATTCTAAAGGGTTCTGACGATGGTGGATGACACACAGAATTGCTGGGGTTTGGGACTTTTCCCATCGTCTGGAATTCTAGGTAACAGAGGACACGACGTTTCTGAAACTGGATCTAAGTGAGAAAGGAACTGATCAGTAATTGAGGTTAGCTCTTTCTAACATATGCACATTTATTTTGTATGCAGTATTTTTAAATTTTTCGTAGGCCTAACTTATGGGATGGACATGGAGCAAACAGCATGGCTATAACTAACTACAGAAGCATGACTGCAGTACACACTGCAGAGATCATATGGTTATGCTGCAGGTAAACAGGTGTCAGCAACAGTAAAGGTAACAATAATGATGCACTTCAATCTATTCGTTCATTTATTTATAACATTTCTCCTAAACACGTTATCACAGTCACTTTGAAAAGAATCGAACATTTATCTTTTTTGTATGCAGTTATAGTAAAAGTGGATCAGCCTATGGTGCTGTACGGGAGGGACAACTTTACTTTTTCTACTGACATTAAAAAAAAAAATACAACTCTCTCCAACCATCTCTCTTACTCTGGCACACAATATCATGCACATATTACTTCAAAAACAATTATGTATGCTCCTTTCACTCATCTATCATATTCCTCTTCTTAACATCATTTACAGAAGTAGCACTGAGTGAAGAAGAGCAAAAGCGAAGTTGTATGAACTCCTGGTTTCCTGGTCACTCCAAACCTTGAAACATATATAGTGGAACCTCGCTTAACGAACATAATTCGTTCCAGAATCTTACTCGTAATGCGAAACAATTTTTCCCATATAAATTAATGTAAAATACGATAATGCGTTCCATGCCGAAAAAAATACTCAAAAAATTTTATGTATAACGTTTATTCAAAGAAAATTATATATACATTGTTAAGGAGCGTGAATATTTTTCATTTTTTCTTCTATGCGGAATGAACCAACCTGGAATGCGAATTCGATCTGCAGAAAAAAAAACGAAATAATTAGTTTATTATTTATGATACATATCTAATTCTTTTTTACTAGAAAGCTGTCTCGAGACATTTGTTTTTGTCGACGCTTCAAAATTTGGTGGAAATGCGACACAGCATTATCATTAAATAAATTTGTAGCGCGCATAGCCACTGCCTTATTAGGGTGATGCTTCTCAATGTACAATGCAACAGTTTCCCATGCTTTCAGCATTTCTCTTATTGCGCCAGAAGATTGTTGCTTTGCTGTTACTTCCTCCTCCTCCTCCTCCTCTGACAAACTCTCCTCCACAACTTCTTGCTGTGAAACACAATGCAACTCCAAATCGCGCAAATCGTTGATGTAGACCGATTGTATGTGCGTGCTAGATCAGCCAACTCACACCTCGTTCTCGCTTTTCAATGATTTTACGTTTCATTTCTAGGTTATTTTTATTCTCTTATGGCTGTCTTTTTGCGGCTTTCGCTTCGGGGACATTTTTGCAAGGGTTATTAAACTTTGCACAAAAAAAAAAATCACAAATAATATGTTTGAACACAAGTTTGGAAAAATGTCTGATCAGAAGCGACACTAAGATGCTAGCGGAACGAATGCTAAACACAGACTGAGGTAGCAAGCGCACAATCCGGGACTTCCCCTCTCGTCACTCGTTATGCGAAACGTCGCTCGTTAAGCAAGTCACTCTTTTACAATTTGTTTTGCTCGTTATGCGAATTACTCGTTATGAGAGGTGCTCGTCGAGCGAGGTCCCACTGTACTTCTTACTTTTTCTAAAAAAAATGGGGCATTACAAGTATACTTTCATTGTGAACATAAGCTTGAATTCAAACTGAACTTCCATGTACAAAGCAGTTCACAGTATATTCTTAACATCAGGACAAGTACAACCTCACTGCTTACCATTTATACATGCTGTGCTACCTACGGATCTATGAACACACAGACATGATAACTGCTGGATTCTTTATACGAAGTATACGTACTGTTTCTCCATTTCAGAGAATTTATTTCTGTGTACTCTATATGTTTTTCTAATTGTAGGTCATCTCAAATAAAGTAATCGATACACACTAATCTGGAAACAAAACCATTTATGCTGGAATCTGAACTAGAATAATTATGAACATTTAAAAACTTCTCCTTTCATTACACCATTGTTTCTAATGAATTTTCCACAGTTAGTTCTGACTAGGGAGGGGTTATGTGACTATGTATGGAAATATTCATTCATTCATATTTTATATGTCACTACACCATGAACAGGACCTATGTGCTGACAAATTATGTACATTATGGATATCATGTTCCTAACCCTTCAGCACTCTACTTTTTATCCTACCTATAAAAATAGTTTTATTACACTGAATGATACGATGTCAAAAAACTTCTGTAAATTATTTATCCTAAGTCCAACTAATCCTTACAGGTTTTCAAAAAGTACAGTACTCAGCACAAGGGGGAAATGAACTAATGAAAAAGAAATTATTCCCAACTTTAATTACATAAATTAATCAGGACTGTTAATAAAATATAACACTATATGTTCAGCAAACATCAATGCGTAAGGTTAGTGAGTGCTGTTACTCATCTTCAGCTGAAGCTGTGACCACATCAGGTCCCCATAATTCTGAATGAAAGACTAGTTAATCAGACTCTTCTAATGTTTGGCTACATGAGTCATCACCAACCCATGACTCTAAATACATTTATATAAGTAGGAATGCAACTATTCGTTTAAAAATTATATTTCCAGTATTTTACACTTGAAAATAATATAGTGATTAGAGTTCAACATATGCAGTCAATTTTAATTACACTAACAACTGCAGCCACAATTCCTTAAAACAATAATAATTACATACCAAATTAAATTCATCCTTCATTATTCCTACCATAAACTACAAACGACTATTGTATAAGAATCCCTATTATTCCTTACATGTACAATTTACAAGTTAGTGTCAGTAGTCAGTTCAGTTACTGGTGATATGATCACCAACTTTGGATGCAGAGTTCTCGACAATCCCACCAGCACCACAGGCTTAACGTGTATATATAACCTGCTACGGTTTATATAGCACGGCTGTTTGGATATAGCAAAGGCAAACTTTTTGTTACAAACAAAGAATACGGGTTAGCAGGGACTCAGACCCCACCAAAAGAAAAGAAAGCAAAACTATACAATTACAGCATTCAGTACCAGTCAAATATATATAATAATAGTAATAGTAGTAGTAGTAATAATAATAATAATTATTATAATTATAATAATAATAATAATAATACAATGTACAGTATTTACATGAATGATATATGTACCCTGCAAGGTCGAGTCACACTGCTAGATAATGTCACCATTTCTAGGGGCATCCAAGAGTCATGCAAACAGCATGTCCTAACAAAATACAGGCACTAGAATTAAATTTACAGGGGCATACCCCACGGAATAGATGTATGAATTTTAACCGTAATAATCTGGACAATAATGTGGACTGAACCAACTTCATGTATCGATATCAGATTTTTTTCCCCTTTTGATAATATGTGTTGTTAGTCTTAGCTTTCACTAATATATTTAGAAAAAAATTATTTTTGAAATAAAAATGATCTCAACTGAATACATTCACTAGTCCCAAAACAACGACCAAAAACTTTCTACTTTCTTTGTCTACCAAATATTAGGTAGACCAATTTGTGACTAGTGTTACTGATGTGAAATTTAACACTGGACACTCGGTTTGGTATACCTTTGTCCCTGAGCACTATCACTGCAGCCACAGCCTAGTCCATTACATTAACATGATAAATCAGGCATAAATATCCAGGGTAATCAGTAACATGGCAACATATGCCCTAGTGTAGCATCAAATGTACATGATTTTGCTTACAACCATATAGAGAGGCAGTGGCTAGTGACAGTGTAGGTAGGGACTAGACATGTTCACCTCAGAGACCCTCAACATCTGATTATAGGCAACAAGCAGCACAATACGCATCACACCGTAAGGAATGTCATACTCAGTCAACTCCTTCCTTCTCATTTTCTCTCTCATTTTCATATATATATATATTATATTTAAAAAAGCCACTCATCCATTTATTACGATATTTTTGGTACTTGATAAATGGTTGAAGCGTATAATAACATCCTTTTTGGTTGACATACCTGGCTACAATTGTTACATCTTGGTCAGTATACATATATATATTATATAGCATACAATGGGGTAAACTAGTATTATGTTATATACTTGGACACTCACTTTCGCACTAAACTGTCAGAGATTTATACCTAACAAGGGGAATAAAGAATAAAGGAGATTCATCAGGAACTATTAGCACATTATCTGTTTAGCACATTATTCATAACTGTCAAGTTTCTTTAAACCATTCTTCATTCTCAGCTATTAATAGTTTCATTATCCACTGATTTAGGAGATGCTAACAAACAGAATGGCTTGGTAGGGGTCCTTTGTTTTGTACAGGGCCTACCCGCAATATATTTGTTTAATATTCCCATAATATCGAAGTATACACAATTAATAGTAATATCTATATACCACATAATCATGGTTTGTATACAGTGAAAGCTCCCATAATACAATACAAATAACTTCCAGTTACATGTTAACTTGATCAAGAACCTCATTTATACAAGGAGAATCGCATGACATGCACAATGATGGTGACTTCCACTATCATTATGGTAATTAATCATTTCAGACACTTCTGTAACCAACAGACATAGATAAATACACATCCTTTCATTATCTCTAAGAAAGACAGTTAAATTTGTTTTGTCACAGAAAACTCAGAACCCTAAATAAACTAAATAAATAATAAAATTTAAACATAATATTGAAGCTGGTAACTAAAGTACATAGAACAGCTGAAGTTACAAATGTATACACTGGTAAGAAAGGGCCCATCAACAATTTAAGGAGATTTACCTAGACATGGATGCAACAGACAACTGTTCTTGGCATGCTAACTGTTTGGAATCAATCCATAATTGATTTATTTAAACATAACAAAGAGAGATGATACATTCCCCTGTGCAGAGCGACATCAGACCAGTAAGGACTGTATATATCAAGATGATTAAAAGTGAGTGACCACTGTCTTACATGAATATCCTTATATATGTAGCAAGCAACTAAGTAAATATTAATATACCCTACTTCATACACAAAAGACCTCCCAGGCATAGACATCAGGCTTCTGCTGCATACAGAGGTCAAGAAACATCATTAACCTCATCTAGTATTCTCCTCGAATTGTGTTCACTCCAATGTATATTTTTCTGTCTTAAAAATAATCTGAATTCATCGATACAGAATGTATTCATTTTTCAAAAATTCAAATGTCTACCCTTTTATAGCAAATGCTAAGAATCCATCATGTGATTCCAGTATTCCAAAAGACTTATTTTAGGTTAAATAACAAGTTAAAAAATGCAGTCAGTCTGATATGCGAGCAATACTACTGTATAATGCTTATATGATGCAGTGCTTTTGCCACATAAGGGTTAGCACAGACATGTAGTGAATTTTATCAGATTCAACTTCAAGATTCATACATTAAGGCCATTGTTTTATTTATCAGTTTCTAACAGAAATTAACTTCAAGTCCTTCAGGTTCATGTCATTTATTAATATTTCCCCTTTATGCACAAGTCTGACTTTGACTGATGTTCACAGAATGCCTAACAAATAATAATAAGCATCTCTCCTTCACTTTACCATATGCATTATTCATGAAAGTTTTCTATTTGCTCTCTCAACTATTAGCTGAAACAAAATAGACTTGAAGCACAGCAAAAATTCACTGGCAGAATATATCTAGGGCTGGAAATTGGGGTAGAAGTGGGTAAACGCCATGTACTTTGTTCTAAAACACTTCATTTTAAGGAAGCTTCTTTCAGTTTCTTAAGACAACATAACTACCATTTCTATTAATGACATATGTAGGAACAAATTTACAAGCCTGTCATGTAATATTCTCATTTTAATACAAGTTTGTCATCCCCTGGGCTGAACTGGAATTTTTATGTAGCTCTGAAAGTCCACTCCTACCCCTGGATACACCTTAAAACAATAAATTCGTTCATTAGGAGGGTGCATGCCATAGTGGTAACGATTTATGTGAATATACTGGTATTATGTCCAGGCTATTATGACCCTACCATATGACATGCTATGGGGTGGAAGTTTCAAGAATACTGGCATTGTTGACTTTCCTATACTGGTCCATACTGAGCATAACATATAATCCAAACTTCTTGAACACCTGTAAGTCAGGAAGACATATTCTTTCAAGAAGGACAAATATCTGAAAATATGTTTAAAATACAGTACACGATGTAGGGAACTTTCAGGTTCAAACTTTATTTACTCTTCTTCTCAATTTGGAGAGATGCAAGTATCTGCAAGATAAGCACAATGATGTGTGCTTTCCAACAACAGGTCTCCATTATTGAGAATGCCAGTTATCTCTGTTAATCACAAGGAACACAGGTCCACACAATTACAGCAACAAACTTACATATTCACGTTATATTGCTAAACAGTCACTAATAGAAAAATTCTTCTATTATCTATGAAAGCAACTCCTGTGAATTATCTCTTTAGAAGACTTGTATCTTGCATTGACTAACATGGAAATTACAGAAGAAAGCAGTCTTCTGGGATTTGGCACCGTGTATATGTGGTGTTAACCGACGTTTCGGAGGAACGTATCGCCCCCAGAAGACTGCTTTCTTCATAGTCACTGCCGTGAAAGCCTCAAATCTTACATGGAAATTACAATTCCAGAATATTATTTATACATAAGCAATACCTTTAACAAAAGGGTCAGCATGTTATAAATATTCTGCATGCTCGCTTCACACAGTGACATGTAAACATGTAAACAAGAAAGCAGTACACTGCAAACTAATAGTCAAACAGGTAGATATATTTTCAGAAGGGATATATAATATGGGCAATTTTATCTTCTAGAAAGCTTTAGTTTTCTCCTGTCTGTACAACAAGAGTTGCATTCTCACTAATGAAGGCACAAATACAGACATATAAAGAATTTATAAGGAAGTTAATTCAGTTTTCACATAGGTATGAACATACTGAAATGAGGACATCATGTACTTTGTCACAGAGGAAGTTACTGTAGGTGCAGACTACTGCCATCCCACTATACAAGCACTGGTATGTCCGATCAATACCATTCTTGCAAAGAAGCGGCTGTTTTACACTATTTTCATATTAAATTATAACTCCAACTGGTGCAGAGGTCAAATATGATGGAGCTATACTTCCACTCCCCATATATCTTCATGGTATCCTTCTTAATTAAGGACAGGGAGAACTTTACCTTTACCTGTACTAAAATGCAGTAGAAACATAGTGTACACAAGTAATGGATTAAGCCACAGCAGTGAGTCAGTGACATCTGAAACATGTATCAGAATTTCCTTCTAACTCAGCTCTTTTTGTGTGTTCTGTGCATGAAGTGCATGAAATGAATGCATACTGGGGAGGTTGTATCTGTTTCTTTCATCTACAATATTGAATGACAGATTTCACTGAAATTGGGTATATACATGGGTTACTTCATAAGTCATGGCAACATAATTTTTCCGAAATTTCGAAAGCTTCGACCGGAATTTCCAAATTTGCCGCTGAGAGACAACAACGTCTGATTTCTAATGATGCCGCTAGATGATGTCTAAGGCCAACAAAGCGGGTCCAGCGCGAAGTCGGTGTGGTCATAACCTTCGTCGAGAATGAACGTTAGCCGGCTGGAACAGCGCTGTTACGTGAAAATAGCAGTGCTTCGCTTCAGAAATGCGACTGAATGTCACTCAGAGCTTGTGGAACTCTGGTTGCAAGGTTGATAGAAGCATTCCAACGTGGAAGAGAAGCAAGTGCAGACTTGCAACGTAGTGGACGCCCTGTGTCCATTCGTACCAATGTTTCTCGTGCCGTGATCGCCCAGTGCATGGAGGAAGATAGGCGCTGGTCTCTGAAGGAGTTAGAGAGACATACAGGGATTGACCAGGCAACTGTGCATCGAATTTTACGAAAAGACGTACACATGCGCAAGATTGCAGCGAAGTGGGTGTCACATGAATTAAACGAGGTTCAAAGGTGGACATGTTATGAAGAAAGTCGTTTGAACCTCGAACGATATGAAATTCATGGAGACAATTTCTTGAATCGGATAATTTCCATCGATGAAACATGAAACACTGAATTTCTATTTCTTAATCACAATTGAATTTTTCGAGGATTAAAGAATGAAAAAAGAACAGTCATTCCGTAATGTGCAATTTTTCTTGCCTACTATACCTACGCTCCTTTACATCTACCTGATCTGACTAAGCTAATCGGAGGGGTATATCATGTCCTTTCACAAGTACGTATATTTTGAACTTTCTTCACTGTAACGTGTTTGCCCAAAAAAATNAAAGTCGTTTGAACCTCGAACGATATGAAATTCATGGAGACAATTTCTTGAATCGGATAATTTCCATCGATGAAACATGAAACACTGAATTTCTATTTCTTAATCACAATTGAATTTTTCGAGGATTAAAGAATGAAAAAAGAACAGTCATTC